TTGAAGGAGAAGGTTGCTGTTTGTCTGCCTGTCTGAGAACGTATTGCGAGAAAACTACTGGACAGATTTTAATGAAATTTGTTATGATGATAGCTGGTTATCCGGGTCAACATATTGAATATTTTTTACTGCGGAAAAATGTCTCATCTCTGAGAAATTTATGCTGACCGTTTAAACTTACCTAGGCATGAACCTGTGCGGAGCAAGGGTGAATTGCTAGTTATACTATGATGATGATGTTCTCCCGACCGATTCCGGCCACGGCGTCCAATCTCATTGAGACTAGCCAACTGCGCAGGAGATATTATAGTGCACAAGTGTACGCGCAGACACAAGTGCACTCTCTATTCCTGTCACTCTCATATTCCGGTGGGACGACTGCTCGACACGACCAGTGAGAGTTAAGGCGCAGGACTGACGGCTTTACGTGCTCTCCGAGGCACGGGGGTGAAACACCGCCAACTTCCCAACTCCGGGCTGTTACTGAGGCTTACTTATACAGAAAGACTCAATAACTAAACTTGGCCCGACCCGGGACTCGAACCCAGGACCTCCGGGTGTGCAGCCGTACATGCTAGCAACAATAATAATTAAAAGAAAGTACTTAACGAACTCAATAAGCTATGTAATGTCACATTTAATATAACGATACCAAAAGAAGTCCTATAATGTTTTGCGAACATGTATGCGGTTTCATTCTCTCCAAACATTAACTATGATAATTGGAACATTTAGTTTGTCGATAGAATGCCACAGGGATATTTAGTGTAATAACACTTGTAAAACTTTGCTCATCTGTTAGAACAAATTTGCTGACGTCAGAATGAAGTAAATCTATTGAAAATGCTTAAGAGCTTTTAGTTTTGAAATGTTGAACTAAAATTGAATGAAATGTCAGAGTATTTGTTCAAGAATGCAGCTTATTGAATCTATCATTATGCACTATATATGTATAGAGACGGAAGATGTATATAATATAACTTTATTAGTATAGGTGAATTAAGCATGTACAACGCTTACTCGAAGATTACTTTTATTTAATCCCTCCACGACCGCGGACACGCCGGCGTGTCAGTTAACAATAGATTTCTAAGAATTTTAATTGATTTCTTAGAAATTTATCTGGAGGTGTTAAGCCCCCATTTTTTTCGGAAAGACCTTAAATAAAAAAAAATACTCAATTTCACTGTACTCGCTCTTTAAAGCAAAATACACTTAGACTGATCCATTTGTGGAAAACTCTTGGACAAAAAGATTAAAATCCTTCGATCTATTATGCCCGTCTTTCTTTAAAGCAATATCTAATACTCTTGAAACGCGAATATTTGACATTTTAAATAAAACTGTTTTTTCGGTTATTTTCATGGATTTATTTTCATTTTTGGTTCCCGACGTTTCAAATGCTCTACAGCAATCATAGTCACAGGAGAGACCCTGTCTCACATCACGACCGGAAAGACACTCTTTGACAGTAGACCAGCCTGGTCTACTGTCAAAAAGTATCAAATTATATAAGATGTAAAATTTGAAGGGTTGTATACATATAGTAGGAATTTGCTTTTAATATTGCTATTAATTCTCTGTTAAGTTTATGAAATAAAATCTTATCAGAGTTCTTCTCAATTGCATATTATTAACACTTGCTACGCTTATTGATAGAGAAATATCAGTGCATGTTTAAATAAAATATATGTCAGGACATTAGCACACAACGCCATCTAGTTCCATGGTAAGCTACGAGGCTTGTGTTATGGATACCAGATAGTTGATACATTATACATATATAACTTTAAATACATACATATTATAAATATAAACATCCATGACTGGAGTACAAACATTCGTGCTCATCGCACAAATGAATGCCCCCAGCGGGACTCGAACCCGCGACCGCTGGCGCAGCAAGTAGGGTCACTACAAACTGAGCCAAACGTGTCGTTTAAAGAATAGATTCAGTGCTGCCCGCGCGCTACAAGTTGACCAAAACTTTTTAACAAAATATTATATGACGATTGCTTACTTAAACAGATAAAATCAATTATTTAAGCTTCGCTATATGTCTATTTCTATCTCTAAATTTTTAATATAGAGAGCGTGGGTACAAGACGTATCGTTATCTGCCTTTAGCTAATAAAACAATATCAATAATTGTATATAATATATTTAATGAAACTATATCTAATATAAATTACATAACATTTAGCAAAAATAATGTACTTTATACTTATTTATATAATTTTACATACACAATTATTTTGGGTAATTATTTAAAAAATAAATTAATAACTTAAGTGAATATGGTTTAAAGCGATGTGAAGTACATACGTTAAATTTAATTCTAACACCTCGAGGTAAATTTCTAAGAAATTAATAAAAATTCTAAGAAATCTATTGTTAACTGACACGCCGGCGTGTCCACGGTCGTGGAGGGATTAAGAAAAATTTGCATCCTTAAGAGCGAAATAACTACATTCAAAATAATTTGGTTACAAGTAATTTATAACTACCGTCTTTCGATGTATCTTGTAGTTAAATGGTAATTATAAAGTATCAACACGTTTTGACATCATCACGACATTTATATGTTGTATGTTACAGCTACAATATAATACATGTCCTTGATAGGTTTCTTGTAATATGCCATTTTGCCACTGAGTCTACAGCGACCTTCGTTATAATAACCTGTTGTTTTAGGTAAAAAGGTATTCTATGTCTAACATTTATAATTTTGCTTATTTAAGTTTTTGCCCTGAGGCATATTGAAGAAATCTATTTATAATTTGGAAAATTCATATTATATTAGTACCATTATTTTATTTCAAGGTAGCCTTGATATAAAAAGAAATAAAACTATATTTCTGAACTACATTTACATCATATTATAAAACAAAGTCTGTCTAACGTTAGCGATAAACTCAAAAACTACTGAACGAATTTTCATACGATTTTAATCAATGGACGGAATGATTCATGGTTTTGTGTATATTTTTTTAAATACTATATTATATTTATCCATTATTTAATTTTCCCTAACGTTAAATATTTTTTTAAATTTAGTTTAACCTTGTTTTATTTTTTTTTATATTTAGAATTTTAGGCGAACATTGAAACAAATCGATACATATTACGCCATCTGTTATAATATTTTTTAACTAATTTTTATTTTGTTCGTAATGAGATCCCATGGTATTACGGAATTGTTTCTCTTAAAAATATCTATTAAACTATAGCAACTGTATATGTACGAATGACGCGATATGTAACTCGTTAGCATAATAATATCTATATTTATAAAAAACAAAAGCCGTTCGTTAGTCTCGCTAAAACTCAAAAACGGCTGGACCGATATAAAGAAATATTTTTTTGTTTTGTTGGTGGTGTGTCAGGGGTGGTTTAAGTACAAAAATAGGGGGGAAAACCAAACAAACAAAAAAACCAAACAAAAAAAAAAACAGCTGAAAAATCTAAAAGTTCAGAACTGTTTATTTTGTACCTCAGTATTTATAATATACAGTCTATTAATTCCATACTAACCTTTAAAACTTACCTAGGCATAAACCCGAGCGAAGCGAGGGTGAGCCGCTAGTATTTAATAATATGAATAAAAACCTTTTTCAAGGCATATGAAATATATCGCACTATTTAAAACTCTTAAAATCATCAATGAACATTACATACGAAAAGAATTCCACAGCTTTTTTGTATAAGCACACCTCCTTCACTTGAAGCCCCACACCGGAAAAATTCACGTTAATTTCAATACTCTTGAGAATTGTTTTGTTTTAGTAATATGAAAGCAAAGCTCTCGACAACTAAATATTTTATTACAACCTTACCTTTGACATTCTTTAAAAATAATTCTTATTATGACGGCTTATAATTTATATAACATCTTAATTTTATACTAAAATTTTTATTGTTACAATTTCTATTTATTAGTAACTAGAATTGCCCGCGGCTCCGCCCGCAATTAGAAAACCAAAAACCGAATTCTTAGGTTTTACAGATTAGTATACTCTTACATTGCAGTATTTGCATTTTTTCTCAGAAATGAGATATTTTCCCGCAGTAAAAAGTATCCTATATGTTGACTCGAAGAACCAGCTATCATCATACCAAATTTCATCAAAATCTGTCCAGTGGTTTTCTCGTGATGCGGTAACAGACAGACAGACAGACGGACAAAAATTCTAAAAACTATAGATTCGGCCTCTGTATCGATAATGATGTTAATTTCAATAAGAATTTCCTAAAAAAATATTTAATGCACAGATTCGGCTTAGTTACAATTTTATTATAAATAGATATAGATTAATTACATTTTACCTGCGGCTTTAGTCGCATAAAAAATGTAACATGTTTTTTCTTCTGACTGTCTTTGGTGGCTATATTTATAAAAGTTTGAACTAAGGACCTTTACATAAATTTGAAGGTAAGCTACTATTTTACTGGAACGTATTACTAGGTTAAAGAATACCATATACCACCATACCATATCATATACCATATACCATATGTCTAAGACATCTCCAACTGCCAAGCTTCATCTAAATTCGTGCCAGAGAGTACCCACATATAAACTTTCACATTTTTTACAATTTAAAAAATATTTAATTGTTACTATTTGTTACTATATCATTAGCTTCGTATGCAGCTTTGATCACATCAGGAATTGTATAATTTTAACACAATTAAATTCTAGAGACTGATCTATGTACATTGTACATATATAAATTACAATATACTTACCTTGAACAGATACCTCCAGATACTAAGCAGTGTTTGTCTTACGAAAATATTATAAAACTATTTAGATTTATTTTACTAGATTAAGATATTAACTACAAGTATATTTGATGACAGGAAGACTAATATTACTGCGATGATCCAAATGTTGTGAAGACTTGTTAAGAAGTTCCTACACATATTCAGTTGGTAATCATTCTTGTCAACTCAGTGAAGACACGCAAACTTTAACACGTGGAAAATCGAAAGGCCTAAAGGAGTTGAGCACTGATAGTTGGGTGCTTTAGGATCTTGTACACGAATGCCATAAGGTAGGAATTTCTATGTATAGTTCTAACATAAGACTGTTCGAAACAGACCATGTCTATAATTCTGACGGAGTAGTTGAAGCCGCAACCTGGTAATAACTTGATCAAACCCTCGGCACGCGCAACTTTATGCCAATTGAAAAGTTGTACTGCACTAAAATATGTTAATCAACAGCAAAATATTGTTGTATAGTTACTATTAGAAAGTATTCAATTTCTATGTGTTAGGAGGATATGAGAAATATGTGTATGAATTCGTTAGCTCTGTTACTGTGAATTAACTCATTAACTGCTTGAAATGACGGCGATGTTTTTTTTTTTTTTTTTTTTTAATCTTTATTTTTATAGAGGGTTTTTTCACAAAGCGAAAATGTCACCCTCATCATTGCTTACAAATACATATAATATAAATAACAAATTCACTTACTTCTAAGTTTAATCACTAATTTAACTAATTTATAAAGCATCTTAGCTTTATTAGACAAAGGATTAGCTAAAATACTATTACAGTATCCAACATTGTTTCCACGTTGAGGTAATATCAATGATCTTTGTGCTTTAACTCGGTCACATTCTTCTAATACATGATAGACATCTTCTACTGTACCACACAGGGCACAATTGGGAGAACTTACTTTGCCCATCATGTAACCAAAACTATTTAAAGGGATGTGACCAGACCGAATGCGAAATGCAATGATAACCTCTTGTCTACTTATCTTTTCTAATTCAAACCATAGTGAACCCATAAGTTTAGGCTGAATAGTTTTGTACCAGATTCCTTTAGTAAGGGAACGCTCATCAAAATATTCTGACCACAAATTTAGACAGTTTTTCCGTAAATCCCCTATATAGTCAGTAAACCAAGGTACATATTCGTAATGACTTCCCTCAGAAATTGCTTCCTTGGCCAGACGGTCAACTTTTTCATTGCCAGCTAGCCCAATATGCGATGGAATCCATTGTAAGATTACATTTTTATTTGAAGTGTTGAGTTCATTTAAATTATTTAAAATCGTAAAGGCAATAGGATGTCCTCTAAAATTCATTGTACACTTTAAAAGGTAAAAGAGAGCACTTTTAGAGTCAGTGTAAACCACAAAATTTTGATAATCAATAGTTTGGATGTACGAAATGGCTTCGGCAATTGCTATAAGTTCAACAAACATTATAGATATTTGAGCACTGATACTAAATTTACAACATGTCCCTGTTTTTAAATCCAAAAAGGCCGCTCCACAACCTGCTTCTTCTTTAGACCCATCAGTATAAATTTCATAATAATTTGGATATGCTACACTTAATGTCTTAATACAAATCATTTTCAATATATCGCGTTCGTAACAATGTTTAGGCTTATTAACAATTTCTAAATTAGGTTTCACTGCCTTATCTATATTTAAATTGGAGAGCCATATATCTAAAGAGAATATTTCATTAAGACTACTTTTATAAATTTCATTACACTTTAAAAAATTGTATACTGCTACCAAAAGTGGTTGTTTCTTACGTCTCCAGAATAAAAACATTTGTAAAGTTGGATAAGGTCTCAAGGATACTTAGCATTGGGCTATTACTAAATGACATAACTTTTAATAAAAATTTACCTGCTAAAAAGCGTCTGCGGATAGACAAGGGGCACAAATTTAATTCTGACTCCATTATATGGATAGGTGTACTTTTAACAAAACTGCCTATTAATCGTAAAAATATATTTTGAATTTTATCTAATTTTGCTAAATTACTTGTACAACTATTGTCAAAGAGGAAGCTTGCATAATCCAGTCTGCTACGTATAAGCGAAAGATATAGATGTCTTAAATGTGTAGGATGTACACCCCAGCCTGGACCAGTCAATAATTTGAAAATTTTTACAAATTTTAATATCTTTTCTTTAATTGCCAATATATGTTTACCCCACAAAAGCTTTCGATCGAGCCATAATCCTAGATACCTAACAGTGTCTGCTACATCTATCCGGCATCCATTCAAGAAAATATTTATTATTTCTCTGAAATTTCCCCTCTTAAATATACAAACCTTGCTTTTCTCTGGAGAAATATCTAAACCTAGCGTTGACAGCATTTTATTGATACAATCTAAGGCGTATTGTATTTTAATTTGACCTTCCTGAGCTGATGAACAGTGAACATATACAACAAAATCGTCAGCGTATTGCGAAATGTAACATTTTTTTTCAATATATTTGCAAATATTTATTGTTGCTACATTAAATAAAAGCGGGGATAAGGGATCACCTTGAGCTAGCCCACATCCTGTTGATCTACTTATCAAACGTCCTTCTATTTTAATATTTAAAACACGTTTATTCAGAAAGTTAAACAAGTATCTGCAAATTTTTGATCCAACTTTGAAGTGGTCTAAAATACCAATTAATGAACTGTTGTCAATATTGTTATATGCATTTTTAATATCTAAGAAAAGAGCCATTGTTGATAATCCATTCGAAAAACCTATTTGAATTCTTGATGTGAGGTTACTCAAGCTGTCCAAACATGATCGATTTTTCCTGAACCCAAAAACATTTTCTGAAAAATAATTGTTTTTTTCCATGTACCACTCAAGTCTTTTGTATAAAATATAATGAAATATTTTACAAAGACATGAGATTAAAGCAATCGGCCGAAAGGATCTTTCGTCACCCTGATTTTGTCCTGCCTTTGGAATTGGTACTATACATATGTCCCGCCATTGCTTCGGTACAAAGCTGTGAGTTAAAAAATTATTGTACAGAGACAAAAGAATTAATTTTCCTGACATATGTAAATTTTTGACCATTGAATATGATATATCGTCACATCCAGGGGATGTGTCCTTAGATTTAATACATTTATCTAACTCCTGAATTGAAATTGGGCATTCAATTGTAATATTTGTACTTCGAATATCGGGACAAGGTGGGGAAACGTAATCAGGGGCTAACGAACGAAGCAGTTTTTCAGCTTCTATATCATTTATATGACGCTTAGACTTTCTAAAACCTTTCATCCAGGACATTTTATGCCACATTTCATTAGAAGTTGTTGATTCATCCACCGAAGACCATGAATTCTGGAAATCTTTGTTCCTAGCATAACGAATATCTCGCTGCGCAACACTTATGTGTTTTTTAAGTTTTATGTAATTATTCGGGCTGGGATTCCGTCGAAATATTGCAAGGGCAAGTCTACGCTGAGCTACTTCATGGGATAATTCCTTTGTCCAAAAAGATCTAGGGGTAAACTTAGATTCCGGGTTCTGATTATACTTAACTAGAGGTATATTTTTGGCAGCAGCCTCGTTTATTTTAGAGATAAATAAATCATAACCTTTTTGAAGATCTACAGGTAAAATGAGATCAGTGAACAATTTCTCTGTGTCATTTTTATATGAAGTCCACTTGGCTTTGCGAAAGTTTCGCTTTACTATAGGGTTAATTAAAGAATTCGAAATACAAGAAACCTTCACCATTAAGTGGTCACTCCCCAATGTTTCATTTATCACCCTCCAGTTGAATTGTAAAGCAATATCTGAAGAAACTAAGGTAATATCAGGTGAGGATTGTTGAAGCCTCCCATTGACTAAGCGCATCCTAGTAGCCTCACCATTATTTAAAGTTATAAAGTTACTATCGACTAAAGCATCAAACATAAGTGATCCCTTATAATCTATCTTATTCGACCAATTACTATGATGCGCATTGAAGTCTCCTAATATTAGTGTTTTTTTAGTATACAAAGATAGAAGCCTATCCCAATCACTTTTACTTATAATCAAAGAGGGAGGACAGTACACTGATAAAATATAATCTATAGGACTGAAATTACTTAAGTTTACACATAAAATTTCCATACCGCTATTGTCTATCCGCACACGTTGTAGTGAAGAATGCACAGATTTGTGTACACAAATAGCAACACCACCAAATCCATCTTGCCTATCTAGCCGGTAAGTATTATACCCACGTATATTTAAATAAATGTCAGGTTTAAGCCAAGTTTCACTTAAAACAGCAACATGAATCTTTTCCTCATTTAACACCTCAACAAATGAACTCAACTTAGGTCTAATACTTTGCGCATTCCATTGAATAATGTTCCTATTGCTAATACTTCTAGGCATCATTTTATCTTACATACTAATTCTACTAAAAACTTTAATAAAGGCCATTTTGTTATCTGCTCAAAAAGAAATATAACGAGCCACTCAATAATTAATTTAGATGAATTAAATACTTTATGAGAAAAGCTAAGTTTACTTAGAAATAACACTTCTTTTACTCGCAATAACAATTCCTTAAAAGTTAATTTGCCCTCATATTTCAGATCCTCGCTTACATTCTCTTCCTTTTGACTCTCAACCTCTGCATATATAAATTCGTAATCCGACTGACTTGTGGTGTTTTGGTTTTCCTTTTGTTCCCTTTGTGTCCGTTTCATACGTGGTCTTCGGTGCTCAATGAAATTATGTGAACTTTTATTCTGTTCACTCTTTTTTTGTATGTCATGAATTTCCACCGATGTTTTAACTATTTCTGCAAAAGTAGGTGAGCCCTGGTTAAAGCCCAAAGGATTCTTATTCTCATAAGATGTGGTTGGTTGAATACTCACTTCTCGTTCGATAGGTTTTTGTGGTGTAAAAGTCGATGCGTAAACATTTAAAGCCTTTCTGAACGTACAGCCAAAATCCGCCATAATTTCCCGAATTTTTTTTTCTTTTAAAAAGGTTGGACAAATTTTAGAAAGGGCTATATGATTTCCCGAGCAATTGACACACTTAAATATTTGAGTTTCACAATTTTCATGGTTATTTCCACACTTAGGACAGACAACCTTCTTAGCTGAGCACGTTTTACGAGTATGTCCAAATTTCCAACACAACGAGCACTGAGAAACTTGAAAAACAAATGGTTCAACCGAAATCCTTAAGCCAAACCCAAGGACAAAAGCTGGGATGGACGACCCCTTAAAACATACGCGAATTGATTCGCTAGGTCGCCAGCCTCCATTATCTCTGTCAAACCTATTAAGTCGCTTAAGTGATAGGATTTCAATAGAAAAAGGACAAGATATATTATTCAAAATTTCTTCTTCACTCAAATCAAGGTCAACATCTCTAATAACACCATAACAATATGACACTTCCATAGCTTTATATATTCTCCAACCTTTACGAATTAACTCTTCGCATTCCAAAATATTTTTCATAGTCTCCTCGTTCTCCAGATGCAACCGCACTTTATAGGGTGTTATGTATTTAACGTGATTGATGCTAGTGATATTGAGCTGTTGAAAAGTTCTTGCTAGGGCGAATTGTTTGGGCAACTTATCTTTAGAGGAGATATATATTTCAAAATTATGATTGCTCACATTCACGTCAATCTCACTTCGAAGACATGTTCTCTTCCCTTTTCCTCGAACCTTGGTCCATCCTTCTTCAGCATCCCCTGTCTCGCTCTCCTCACTATTTTCTAACTGTCTCTTTTTTTCTCTATTTCCTTCATTTTCTTTCAAAAATACTCTTTCCTCTCTTTCTGTACTATTCATGACGTCATCATAACTGTCTAAATCTTCGACATTATCACGCAGTAATGGAATACTGCACGGTTCTATATTGTCATCACTCATAGTAATATTTTATTATACGCTGCATTGGTAAGACGCACACGAGTTACCGGTCAAACCAGTTCCGTCGGCAAGAAACTGACGTTAACTATATGTACAAGTGTCTCAGTCGAGTGACGACTGCTAACTCGACGGCGATGTTATGTAATAATGGCAAATTGCAAAAAAAAGTTTTTTTTTTGTAAATATTAACAATGTTATAGAAATTAAGTTGCCTAAAAAACCTAAACACTTAGAGCAGCTAATGCTATTGGGAGATTTAATCACAAAATTTTTGGGAATATTTTTAACTAGCCTAATCATTATAAAAGAAAAAAAATTACAAAATATAATTGAAAAATATAATCACAGCCTTTGTTACACAAATATATACTCACTAAATTTTTATTTATAATATTATATTCTTTTAACCTATATTACAAAGCGTTTGTATGCACCAACTCACTGCTCTACATACTCGTATTTACACCACATATCCTACTTAAGCTTTATTACTAACGCAATCTGGCCAGTTTTACACGCTGCACAATATAACATTGCGACTAATATGTAGGTACATATTATATGTACATATATACTCTTAGTTAGCGATTCAATAAAAGCTCCTTTAAAAGTACTCAGTTATAGAGTGTAAATTACTCTATCTTATACACATATGCATGCCATTTTGGGTAAAGTGTACTATGAATTGATAAAAATATTATAACTTTTATACATATTTTATTCTAATATTATAAATTTATACTAAGAATCTATTGTTTTGATCAATGAAATGCTGTCATAGTTCGTCTAACTTTGTTAGACCAAATTATTGACGTCATCAATCTATTACTGCTAAAAAAAATTCTAACTTTATTATTATTTATACATGTACCTTTATTTTAATTAATTTTGCTAAAATAAATATTTGTTTTCGCATTTCATTTCTGATCCATAAAAAATAAAATAATTGTGGTGAAAGTGTTCTATTTACATTGTTTAATTCTGAATAAAACACTGTGTTTTCCACTTGATTTTTATTACAAAATAATGAACAGAAAATGGCGTAGATTATCCCGCTGGAGGCGCATAGCAGAATAAGAAACTCTTGACACCTCATTTGTCAAAATCGGTCCAGCCGTTGAGCCTTTACAAAGGAACAAAGAAAAAGAGCTGAATTGTTATGAACCGCAATCATCCTTTATTCCTACGTAAGCAGCATTTGTATATGAGCACAACTCTGTGAAACTCAGTAAATTGTCTCGTTGTTGAGTTTTTCATAGTAAAACTGTTTAATTAGCTTATTAAAAATAATTAAAAAACTTAATTTTAATCAATTTCAATAACTATTTCTACAATTAAATATTTTCATTACAAATCAAAGTATTGTGTCCACTTTGACTTTGAAGGACGTTATCTATATGTAAATGTATGTATGTTTTTATTTCAAGATATCATCTTCTTTTTCTTCTTCTTCCTGCCAATTTCCCAAATTACTTGGGGTTGGCGCAGTACATCTTCTGTACTGCTGAAAGGATTTGGCAAAAGTTTTACGACCGGCCGCCTGCCTGACATCAACACTCTATGGGAATGCTGTTGTTTACCAACGTCGTGAAGAAGACCCGAGGTGCGATAACCAGCACAGATTGTCTTCTACGACACTTGCAGTATTTTTGTTGAATATAATATTATTATTTAGATTTCTCGCCTATTTATGGTTTTGCACTCTGTACTCCGTAGTCTATATATTATCTATGTTTTTTTTTGCTCTCTATTCTGTGACATCAAGCGACTGTGTATTCCTATTTAACTTTTTTGCTAGTTTAATAATAAATAGTTATTAAACCTGAGCGTACGCCGTTTAATTCAACAGGTTATGGGCCCAGAAAAGCTCATAAATAAAGACAGTGCAAAATCTTTTCGTAAAATCAGTGATTAAAGACATTAAAGTGAACTTAACCTCAAAACGCAACGTGCTTCATGTAAACGTTTTCCTTGTTGAACTTTTGCAAAGTATTTACGTATTTGAACTAAGTTATCTTATTTAAAATGGCATTAAATAACACTCCCGCGTTCATCGAAAGGTTGTCTGGCCGTGAAAATTATGCAATGTGGCGTTTCGCAATGCAAACCTACTTGCAACATGAGGAACTCTGGGATTGCATAGAAGACAACTCTGTAGATAAGAAACGGGATATTAAAGCTAAGACGAAGATAATACTCTCAGTCGATCCAACAAATTATGTGCATATTCAAGAGGCTCGCACTGCCAAAGAAGTATGGGAGAAATTGTCATCAGCGTTCGACGACTCGGGGCTGACACGCCGTGTAGGTCTGCTGCGTGACCTGTGTAATACATCGCTATGTGGATGTCAAAATATAGAGGAGTATGTAAGCAAAATAATGGGTACCGCTCATAAGCTCAGAAACATAGGCTTTAGCGTAGACGACGAGTGGCTGGGAACACTGCTGCTCTCCGGTCTCCCTGATACATATCAGCCTATGATAATAGCCATAGAGAGCTCCGGAATGAAAATTACCTCAGATTCTGTTAAGGCAAAGTTATTACAAGAAGTAAGACTGTCTGAAAATGACTCCAAGGCGTTTGCAGTAAACAAAAGGTCTCAGAAACACCATAAAAAGCTATCAAAAGGACCTAGATGCTATACTTGTAATAAATATGGCCATAAAAGCTCAGAATGCAAATCTAAAGCTAAAGACACACAAAGATCAAGTAATTCATCATATGCTGCTGCATTTGTAGCATCATTCTCACAAAATAATGCCTGGTATGTGGACTCTGGTGCAACCTCGCATATGACCAAGGACAAGGATTTGCTTCAGAATGAGTCGACCTCTTCCATAAAAAAAAATAAGAGTTGCCGACAACAAGGAGTTAACTGTGCAATACTCAGGACAAGTAAGCTTAAACACTTATGATGATAAGGGTCATGATAAAAAGGTCCTGCTTAACAATGTTTTATATGTTCCCGAACTGGCGACTAATCTGCTATCCGTGAGTCAGATTATTCGAAGTGGTGGCCAAGTAAGATTTAACAAAACTGGTTGTGTTATTATGAACAGTAAAAATCAGATAGTAGCAACAGCCAATATAATCAACAACATGTACCGGCTGAACACTCCTGGAGGAGGTTATGCATGCATGTCTGATGTTGAAGAAAAAGATATTTTCCTGTGGCACCAAAGAATGGGACACCTCAATTTTGATAGTTTAAAGAAAATGCCTGAAAACGCTGAACATGTAACTTTCTCAGCAAACACAGAAAGTCTGACATGTGTCACCTGTAAAGAAGGTAAGCAGACACGGCTACCTTTTAAGAGTGAAGGAAGCAGATCAAAGGTTCCTCTTCAGCTGGTACACTCTGATATATGTGGACCTATGGAAACACAAACAATAGGAGGTGCCAAGTATTTCCTGACCTTCATAAATGATTGTACTAAGAAGATTTATGTGTATTTTCTTAGCAAAAAGAGTGACACACTAGAAAAATTTAAAGAATTCAAAAATGAAGTGGAAAATCAATTGAATAGCCACATAAAGGTTCTTAGAACAGACAATGGCCTAGAATATGTCAGTAAGGAATTCTCTGACTATTTAAAAGGTGTTGGTATCATACACCAAACCACCACCCCATACACTCCCGAACAAAATGGGACTGCAGAGAGAATGAATAGAACCCTCATTGAAAGAGCAAAATGTATGCTGCTTAATGCAAAATTACCAAAACAATATTGGGCTGATGCAGTACACACAGCTGCCTACATAATAAATCGTTCTCCAACCAAGTCTCTGTCATTCAAGACACCAGAAGAACTGTGGTCGGGTCGGAAACCAAATGTAAAGCACATGCGCATATTTGGTTGTGAAGCAATGGTACACTTACCACAAGAGAAGCGTAAAAAGTGGGATCCAAAGGCACAGAAAATGATATTCATTGGCTATTGTGATCACAGTAAGTGCTATAGATTCATAATACCAAACTCGAGAAAAGTGATAAAAAGCAGGGATGCTACATTTTTTGAATCTACTGTTAAAAGAGATTATGTATCTGTGCAACTGTCAGAAAGGAATCCTGTCACAAAAATTGAAGTAAATGAAAATAATACCACTGAAATAGATGAAAAATCTTCAACAAGTTCATATGATACTGTTTGTGAAAATAAAACTTCTTCAGATGATGAGTACTTACCCAACATTTGTTTAGACTCTCCTTTAGTTAGCAACATAACATTAAGACCTAGAAAGAAGAGAAATCAAGTAAAACTAGATGATTCTGAAGAAAGTACATACCTGTGTCAGAGTGAAGACATTCACTCAGATGTTCCTGTTACATATAAGGAAGCTGTGAACTCGGTTAATAAAAATAAATGGATCAAGTCCATTGGTGAGGAACTGGAAGCTCATCAGAAAAATAACACCTGGACATTGGTTGAAAAGCCTCCGAATGCAAAAGTTATACCATGTAAATGGGTATTCAGAATTAAGGATGAACCAACGGGTCCAAGGTATAAATCAAGACTGTGTGCAAAAGGGTTTTCACAGACCAAGGGCATCGATTACCATGAAACTTATGCTCCGACAGTTAGGTATGATTCTATACGTTTGCTTCTTTCAGTTGCAGTACAAAATAATTTAAAAATTATACAACTGGATGTCAAAACAGCATTTCTTTATGGAGAACTAGACGAGATCATATTCATGAAACCACCAGAGGGTCTGCACCATGAAGATAATATGGTATGTAAACTTAATAAATCCCTATATGGTCTAAAGCAGGCTCCACGGTGTTGGAATAGTAAATTTGACTCTGTACTTAAGAAGTTTGGCTTTGTCAACAGCAAAGCAGACCAATGTGTGTATGTTGGTGAAGTGAATAAAAGAAAGTGCTATCTATGCTTATATGTTGATGATGGGCTGTTATTTTCCTCAGATGAATGGGCTCTACAGGAAATAACTAAAGAATTGAGAACCATATTTGAAATTAAAATATTAATCAAACCTG